TCAAAAATAGTGCTTTGATTAAAAAAAGATTTTGTACTTAATTGTTTGTCAGAAACAATGCCACATTTACCACATTGGTTATGACTTATTAAATTCCTTTCTCTATATCCTCTATCCAATTTTAACTGATTTGCCACAAATACATTGAATTAATTTCCTCAACTTTTTTAATTATTCTAATTTTATTTGTTTCAGCTACAATATTTATTTGGGAATTAACATTAACCTCAATTTATTACTGTCTCTACATTCATTCTCATTTTCATTCTCATTTTCATTTTCATCCTTTTCCTCATCTTCATTCTCACTTTCATCTTTGCTTTCATCTTCAAACAATAATATAGTACAGTTTTCATTCTCAGGAATTTCAATTAATTCACTAACATTTTCTGAATTGCATGAAATATTTTAGGATCTTGATTTACTTAAGTTTAATATACACATATTAATATTAAATTTTTTTTTTTAAATAATTTACCCAAAATGGAACCAACATATTAATTTACCCGGGGTCCTCTTTAACTGCTTCTCATTTCTAAAATTTTAAAAATGGGCAAACAACCAATTTTTAATGTAAAACTTATAGCTATTGGCTCAATTTTACCCAATTTACACTATGGTATCAGTGCATTTCATTGGTGGACCACAAGAGGTGATATTGATTCAACTAGTAGTGTATTTCTTTACCCAATATGTGTTGGTTGGCAAACTGCTATTGAAGTAAGTACTAAAAGATATTATACACAAGTATTAGAAGGTAACAGAACTGATAAATCATGCCCTGGTTTTAGAAGTTATACTGGAAATGAGTTTAGTGATGTTGAAGATTCTTCTAGCAAAGCAATTACTTCTTTATATAAACAATTGAATCCATCCACAAACACCAAATATTTTGGCCCATTAGTATTAGGTTGGGAACAAGAAATCAATTTAAAAGCATCATTGGAAGGTGTGCAATTTCGTCCATTTGTGATTAATGTAGACAAATTTCAAATTTATATTACGGCATTGGGAATTTCTGGTAAAGATGTAAATGAAGCAGGAGTAGGATACACATCATCTTTTGTAGGCGAGTATAAAAAGCAGAGATCATTATTTGTTCAATTTATTGATCAAGATGGGTTCCATATAGATATTTATCAAAAAAATATCTTATTTGAAAGTTTTGTTGGCTTGACACCAGTTGAAGTTTGGGAACAAACAGGGTTTATGAAAAAAATAAATGGGAAAGCCCTTTTTGGATTAGAACATAAGATGACACTTCAAAATTTGGCTAAGCAGCAAATTCCAAGTTGTGATCCAACATTTTGGAATAATGAAGATATCATGTATCAAATTTATAATTATCATTTAAAAAAAAGGACAATTGCAAATGTTAATTGGTTCTATTTTTTTGATACATGGAAAAATCAAAGCACAATTATTGAATTGAAAATGGCTTTACAAAACTTTTATCCTACAAACCATGTGTTCAATGTGCGTGAAATAGCAGCATGGCGAGCTATGTTGAAAGCTACTGGATGCACAGAGATATCACCCTTTGAAAAGGAGAAGTCAAATGTAATTAAACTAATAATTTATGACCTAATTGATTTCTAATTTTAATGGGATATTATTTTTTTAAATTATTATTATAGTATGAATTTTGGACACGAGCCTTTGACCCTTCTAATGATAAGAATATAATGAAGATGCTCTATGAAAAAAGTTTTCTCAATCCAAATCCTTCTGATGTTCCTGATGTAAGTAATGAATTTTGGTATTGTTTTCAACGTTCTCTTGATGAAAACAAACGTGGTTATGATGGGAAAAACCGTACTTTATCCACAATTGCTGACCGATTCACTTATGATGAACTACAGAAGAATTTAAATGTATGTGATAACAAAATCAAAGCTATTAGCATAAAAGCAAACAAATTTTATTTGTTTAAAATCAATATAACTTTCCTAAAATAGCCTTATTCATAAATTTTTATTTTTTAGGTTTCTTCTAAAACCATTTCCCGTGCCAGAACTTATGCAATTGTAAATGGCCCAGGGTGTCCATGTTTTGATAAACCAAAAATTACAAGGACTCGCCTGACAAATGAAATGTTGGATCAATTTCAGGTATTTTTTTCAGACAAGAATAATGTAAATATGAGTTCATACAAGGTTGATGGAAAAACAGGATTGCCTATCCTTTACCTCAAAGAAAATAAAATATCATTATGGAACAAATACCTTGAACTCTACCCAAATGGCATAAAAAGATCTACCTTCATGGCTCGTTTGCAAAATGGTCAATTCAAGTATCGAGAAGATTTGGGTGGATTGTGTGCAACATGTAATGAGTATGGTTATAATGTATTTTCTAATATCCAAGAGTTAGTGAGAACAAAAATTAGGAGTAATGATCAAAAAGTTAGTATAAATGGACAGAAAATTTGAGGTATTCATTTCAGAAAATTATAATTCATTAGAGTTACCTTTGATTTTTGAATCTTGAAGGCATCTCTACACTAAATATGGTCCTTTTATTAAAACAACAGAGAGAGATGTATATATCTTTGAAAATTTCAATTTAAGAATTACAAGTTGCTGGAAAATTTGAAGTTTTTGAATTATTTTCAAACTTGATTAATCTAAGGCATACAAAGATTCTTTAGATTTGGCAACCATTGCTACTCAAACTTTATCCTTGTAACTGTCATTCTTATATTGGAATTTTAAGATTACATCTCCATTTTTGCCATTAAGATTTTTTAGAAAACCTATGGTAAATAATGTTTTTTAACAAAAAGATCATATTTAATAAAATTATAATTTTATTATTAAAAAAGATAAAAAAATGAATACCTTGAATTTAAAAATATTATATTTTCACCTGATAATGTTTCATATGCACTAAAACTTAATGAATTATATGAATTGTAGAGAACTTTGATTGATGAAATTGATTTATCCCAACGCCATTTAAAATTTGGATATGGAAAAGAGTTAAGAATTGATTCATTAGGTAATTCTTATCATGTGGATTGCATTCAACATTGTCTCCCTTATGCATTTGGACAATGTTCACAATTACATCTGGAAACCTGCGCTGAATGCAAAAAATTAGAAAATTTGTTTGCAACATTAGTAACATTGCTACCTGAGGAAACAGTTATTTTATCAGAGAACCATAAAAAATTGCAATATTATTGGTCCCACCAAGCAAGAAAAACTTACTTGAATGCTCAGTTCAATGCAGCAATACTAACTTTGGATAAGGATGGAGCAATTGTGGTTGTAGATTATAAAATGAGGGTGTTGCCAAAATCTGCACGTGAAATAAAATCTGAATTTTTTGGGAAGAAAGGGTGGACATTACATACTATGTTAGTTTATGGAAAAGAAGATGATTCAGATAAAATAAATATACAAGCATTTGACCATTGGTCTTCTGATACAACTCAAGATGCTTGGTTTACAGCTTCTGCTTTTGATGCTGTTTTTAATACACTAAAAAAAAAACCATCTTGGATTAAAGTATTATCTGACAATGGTGCTCATTACCATTGTTCAGAACTTATGACAACAATCAGTAATTGGAAAGAATGGTATAATGTAGAAGTATGTCAGTGGATCTTCCTGGAACCAGGAGAAGCAAAGACAACAATTGACTCACACCATGCACAGGCATGTATTATTTTTTTTTTTTTTTGAAAATTAATTTACCTTTGATGACACCATAAATTATTATTTCATAGGTTTCCCATTCCATAAAAAAATATGTGAGATTGGGTTATGATGTAACAGGAGGTGAAGATATTGTATCTGCAGCAAAAGGAATTTGTGGTACATCAATAGCTAATATTGAGCCAAACAGAAGTTCTGAAAAGAAAAAAAAAACATCTTTACCTGGAATATCAAATTGGTTTGAATTTCGGTGGCCTGTTGAGGGTGAATATGCAGGATATATTTGTGCTCGTTCTTTACCAAATTTTGGAAAGTGGAAATATTTTTCTCCAGCCATAATTCAAAAGCAAGAAAAACCAACTCCAACATTATCTGATCATACCATTCCAGATTCTAAATGGATAATTCCAATGCCAAGCAACAATAGTAAGTAGTTACCCAAATGTAAAAAATAATTGATCCTTTTACTAATAAAATATTATAAATAAACATAGCCTCTAATCCCAGTCGGTGGTCTATTGGTAAAATCAAAGAAGAAATGATAAAGTATAATCTGGAAATTGATAATAATAGTAGTCGTGTTGAATTAGTGGCTCTTTTGCGAGAAGCAATTGATAATGAAACAAAAATGAAAATTACAGGTATGAATTTACATATCTGAACATGTATTGTATTTGTAGATTGTTAATAAATATTATATTTTTTTTGTAGAGGCAACAAATTCAATTCCACAAGAGATTGATGCTATAAATGATATGAATGAGAGGGATGTAAAAAAACGTAAATCAGAATCAAATCTTAGTGAAAATGTGGCAAAAATTGATAATATAATGATATAATCCAGTAAGAATTATTTAAAAAATAAAATTATTTTTTCCTTTAAACTCACCTTAAAAAAACAAGTTTACTGACACTAACTATGTTACTTTGCCAATAGAGTTGATTATTTTGTGATAGGATGGGCCTTGAAGGAAAATCAAATTTATGGAAAAAAAGGGGGTGGAAAACAAATTGGTGATAAAGTCAAGGAATACCTGCAAATATATTTTCTTTCTGGTAATATGGATAGAAGTCAACGATTTTCTGCAAAAGATATGTTAGAAGAATTGGAAGAGCGTGTAAAACTTGGTGAACTTGCATCCGAAGAGTTGCCAACAATCAAAACAATTGAAGGATGGATAAGTCATTTTGCTGCTTCTCATAAAAAATCAATGGCACAGAAAATTTTAGAAGAAAACCAAAATAAAAATCAATGACATTCTA